TTGATTGTTTCTGGGTACCTTACCTTTCAACTATTTTTCAAAATTAATTCTTGCTTGTCAGTTTGTGTATGAAAAGGTACGCAAACTTCAAGATATAGACCATAAATAGACAGTTACAGATCGTTGTGTATGTGCTTTTTGGAACAGGTCACAGATTAGTTTGTTCATTTACACTATTATTTGCATGTAAGAAAAGACTTGAAAAAAAAGAGGGGCCTGCAACGTGGCGCAGTTGCTTCGCAGCAAGAAGGTCACCGGTTCCACTACTGCAAGGAGGAGTATTCAAAACAGAAACCAAAACCAAGAAAAGTACTACAGGTAAGTATAAAAGAAGTGGCCAACTTAAAATTGGACTGCTTGCACATTACTCCCACTTGTGTCAGGTAGCCCTCTCACATTTAGAAGTGTCATTCACTGAGACTAAAGCTGAAAAATGTAAAAACTTAAAATGTCACAAGAGGGAGATGGTTCTCTTATCTTAATATTGCATACGATTTGTTGTAAATATTCTGTTGAGATGTTATCGTCCCTGTAGGGCAACAGAAATGGCCTTTAGTCAATACAACTCCAAAGTGATGTTGTTCAGCTACACCCCCATACAACTATGTACCTTGCAACTAATCATTTGCCAAGTCTTTGATGATGACAGCTGGCCAGTCCTCTCTTCAGACACACAAGAGCCACACACGGCTGAAAGGCTGTGACTTATCTGTCCATTCTCCTTTTCATGCAGCTTTTTCCCCATGAAGCACGATTGCCTCAATGTACTACAATGATTCAGATCAGCTAGCGCCTGACGCAAGTTCAGCACATGACACTCAACTGTGTTATGTTCATGCTGAGGAAAAACAATGCTTTGGTCTTCTATTATGACCACTTAATGTATAGCACAATGCTTTTTATTTTTGTTTCTCACACTCAGAGACTCAGAAACAGCTTATTTTTGTTGAGGGAAATTAAAAGTACTGACATTACTTTCCTAAAACCACACAGTAAACAGTGACAAGCAGTACAGAAAAGGTGTTTATATGAGGAGATAAAGCTGGGAACAAGCCACTCAATGGCTTCCCACAGACAGCACCAGTTCATTGTCCTGAGTCTGAGAAACATAACCTTACACACATTTCACCAACACTTACAGCTGACTGAAACCACCCAGTGAAAAAGAGACCGGGGTAGTCATGCTACTTTCCTGAGACATATTATGCACTTGAACAAATCTGAATAATGCCATATCATACGCATTGGCTGTTAAACTGATTAGAATTAATTGATCAATTACTTAATTGAAACTAAGATAACAGTGGAAATGCTGCTCCCCAAATTATACATACCTCCTCTAGACACATTTTTTGTCTGTTTCATATTGCTGGCCTAAGACAAAAGCTACATGAGCACTGATTCTGTTAATGTCTCGCCTGTGGTCTACTCAGCCCACTCGGCCCAGACATAGCTGAACGACATTACTGGTGGCACCAGGTTGTCTGAGCGATCACTTCAAGGCTCGTCAGCCCGGAAACTGGTCCTGCCAGCCTGAATCAATTTAGCAGTAAACCAGCTCAGCTCTCGTGCTCAGCTCTGCACAGGCAGAAAACATTGCAGTGGAAAGGTGACATGATGGATGGTTAATGACAAGACCCTACCTGGTCTCCTGGAAGCAGGAGGTGTGAAAAAAGAGGGATGGCAGGGGGACTGAAGTACAAATCACATCCTTGTTTATGGATGGTTTCCCACTGTTTTGCATTTCTGCAGCACTGCAAGCTGAATGCGGTACAGAGTCTGTCAGCGGTCATTCCCACTGGTGCTCCTGACACACCCAAAATTGCCTTTGTCACACAGGTGGGTGTTTGAATGAAAAAGTTGATGAAACGTAATGTAATAATTTTTGCAGTCCTTTCATGATATAAGTCCTTTAAAGACAATATTATTCAAGCAACGAATACAACTGAGGAACACTGCAGCATAGTGAAGTGCAATGTTTTCTGTGACAGCTAACTGCATAGAACAGTATAAATGCGATGAAATGTAAGTGAAATAAACAAAACACGTGACTCAGAAGTGTGCTGAATGTGATCGCACAAGCGCTCATGGGACACTGCAACAATAAGAATCTTGAGGTGGGTGTGGTCTCTGCATGGCACAGTACAGCATGAACCAGCAATTATGGAGCAGACAGCAAAAACTTCAGACGTTAAGCCGGGCTGTTCATACAGCACCAGTATATGTGCTCAGAAACACACTAAGAATACTATCAGACTACATTTAATCCGATCTAGAGACTGCAGATTATTTTTAAAAACATTCTACTGCATTCAGTGTGATCTGGCACACATGGGAAACCTCACTCTGCCTTGCTTCCTGGATAGCATCACTCCTCTGCATGGAGCCCATCATTAGGTATATACAGACTTGTTTCAAGTTGATTCAGCAGCTGAAACCACAGCTGAGAGGTGCCTGCTAACTTGACACACCACGAGATGGATAGGACACACAAAAGACATTGCTCTGGAAAACAACAACTGCCATCAAGCGGTGCTCATCTACCACTCACGACTTTTCATTTGAAATTGTAAGTGCATGAATCATACACTCTCTGGACATAGAAACAGAATGGCAACAGAAGTCACCCATGTTCATGTGCTCTGCTCCTGTACGAAGGGCATTTCCAAGACACTGCCAATCACATTGCACACAAAAACAAGTGTGCTCCACTTCAGTGCTTCACCACAGGCAGTTGTAACCAAACTACAGTTCCTTAAAGTATGCTGTCAGCTAACAAAGGCAAACATACTGTTATTTTTGGCAGTTACAGCCGGAAACTTCCGAAGACAATAATAATGTAAAGCATCCTCCCTGTGGACTCATGTTTGAAAATATAAAAAGGGCCAAACAGCACATTTTCTCTCAGTAACCTTGGTAGAGCCTATGTTTGAAAAAGACAAAATGCCCATGTTGCTCTACTAATTTAATTTGCTCCAGAAAAAAATAAGAGTAGTTTTTGACCTATCCTGTGCTGTGACACCATACTGAACAGTACTGTTACCTTACTATAATGTTAAAGCTCTTCTAGTCTGTGATATATGAGGCAAAGTGCTGAGTGATTCTTCACCTTTACAAAAAGAGTTTGGCCAAACCTTGACCTTTCAGCTGATCAGAAGGGCAGTACACTTATCTAATGTTTGTTATCTAAACACAAAAGGTATGTACAGCAAAAAATAAATACACTTAATGACTAAAGATTGCACTGGAGTCTAAGTTAGACAACTGTAAAAGACTGTAAAGCTCTTTCTTTACACAGTTGCTTGGTATTAGAGGCATCCCCCTAAAGCTCCATTTATGGCAAATGAATCCATCACCCCTCTCTCTCAAACTGAATAGTTTCCACATTAGTAGCCAAGTGATCAGCTAGGCCTGTATAGAGGATACTGCTTGTGTTGGGACAACTAACAAAACGATTAGAAAAACTGAAAAAGTAGATAAAAATAGGTGTGTTTTTAAACTAGTGCAATAGATTTTAAAGAGGATACATATTTTACAAGACTCCCTTGATCTTTGGCAAGATTTTAAATACGCATAAAACAAAAGTAACGCAAAGAATGGAAGTTTCTCACTTTGCATCTTTCAAGCAGTGCTTACAGCAGGAAAGATAATTGAACATACTTTTAAACATTTTTTTTTTAATTCTGTAAGAAAACAGACCAAATTTGTAGTTTGGCACAATGTAAAGAGGTTTGTCTGTGACCCAAAACGTACTGAGTCCTCTTTGTGAAGCCACATGTCGGCTGCCTCTGACCTCCCAGAACCCCTTCATTTCAGCTGTAACCAGGCCAGATCCAATTAAACACTCTCTTGCTCCATAAACTCACTTTTCTAACTCTGCCTGGCCCCTCATGACCATTTCTCTCAGGCATGTGCCAGACTGCCGAGACCAAAAACACAGCAGTACAACATGTGGTAATTCAGAGCCCGCAGGCACAACTGGGCATTGAGAATGCAGAGACACTGTGTCCTCACTAAGCTACGTTGCTGTATGTAGGGCACTGGGGGCAAGTTTGGCTTTGTTCAGGGGGAGATATATCAGAATGTTTTAGGTCCAAAGAGAGCAAAGGCAGCATATCTCAACATGAAATCTGAGCTTTAGTAAACAATGTGTTCTTCGAGTTATGGCTAAGAAGGCAGCCAGTGTTTTGGCACTGAAAGAACTGCAGATGTAATCACTTTTCAGGGTCAGATAAAACTGTGCCCTTGATTGAAAAATCATAATAAAGCACAATCAATCACAGAAGAAAATGAATGTGATCCAGCTCAATAGTAAAGGGAAACAATAATGTTATGTGCCTTTGCCTGCCTGAGAACAATTCGCTTTACTGAACAGCAAACAGTAAGAAAACTGGAAATTCGTATTTAAACAAATTAGAAAAGTCAGTTATATGGCCTTACAATAACACAGAAGTGCAGTGAGTACACAAAAGAAATAGAGAATTTGGAAAGAAGCCTAGTCCGGGGTTTTGTTGTTTTTCCCATGCTCTATTTGATTCAAATGTCTGGAGTATACATTAGTTGTGTAGGTAAAACTGTCAGCATTCAGCGTTTCTTGGATGGTTGAAAGCAGATCTTGTCTCATGACTTTCTTTCTTTTAAATCTGAGATTTGAACCATAAAGTTGCTTTATCTCAATTATGAGCATACCTCCAGGTCAAATGGACCATAAAAGTTAGTTTCTAATGTAGAGGCAAAACAACACACTGTTAAACAAAATGCTACCTCTTTGAGAAGAGTGCCAGTCAACGGATGACAGAAACTTTCAGTCAGTAAAAAATTGGTTGTTAATTGAGGCATACTCAAGACGCATGAGTGCATTAATACATTTTTCTCAAAAACAGAATTTATATGGGGAAACATAAAGCTGGAGTAAAGGTTTAAACCTGAGCAGTGTTGTGTGTGTGGAAACCTTCCCACAACTTGATAAAATCCCATGAACCCTTTGATCTGGAGTTTACCTTAAAGTTGCTAGAGTTGACCCAGGAGCTGGCAATGCCATCAACCATCTTGTCCAGCGCTGTTTGGTCCTGCTCCAAGTCATGGGACTTCTCCTTGTCCAAAATGTAATCAATGATCTCTTGCCCCACCTGCAGCCGTCGGCCCACGTCCTTCTGCAGGACCAGGGCCAGGCAGTTCTCCATGCTGGGTTCCATTATCCTGGCCTCTGATAACCAGCCCCTTTGGGTTCCTCAGTCTGCCTGACTGTATAACTGACTAGCTACTAGCAATCCTCCACTGCTCAAAGCAGCGGAAATGACAGCTTAACAAAGGAGTTGTACTTGGGAGGTATGTAGCTAGCTGACCTGGAAAAGTGAGAGAAATGGAGGAGGCCAGTGTACACAGTTTTCTTGTATTTTTATCCCTCAGGACAGGCCTTCTTTTTTGCCAATTGCTAGCTTGCTAGCAAGCTAGTGGCCGTGCCCTAGGGATAGATGGAGCAGGGCTTGGGGAATGGCAGCAATGCAGCATGTGTGTGTCTGGACAGCAGCTGGGGAAACTTTACTACTCCCTCCCACTTGGATTTTTTTCCCCCTCTTCTTCTATGGAGGAGTCTGAGCCAAACCGCCAAAGCGAGGTGGTTTTGGTGAGCAGTGGGCAAGGCAGCAAATGCAGATGGATGGAGAGGGCTAGCTTAGAGCACAATGTCTTGTCCCCGAATCTGCCCTTGGTCCGCCTGGAGAAGCAAAAGAGGCAATAGAACAGTTATTTCAGTACGAAAGAATATAAATTAGATCCCACATTACTGATTTTCCCCAGGGTACACAAATATCATTAAAATTCATCACACTGCATTTATTTCAGACTCTGAGCTTATTTTGGCCGTATATTTTAGACAACAGTCAGGCTGTTATTCAATTCTGTCGTTGTTCCATTTGTTCTTAAAATGTCCAATGCTACTGGCAATGTCTTCAAATTCCAAGTAAAACAAAGAAAAGCAACACACAGTATATTTAAAGTCTGAAACCAGGTATTGTTTGGCTTTTTTGGCTTAAACAAAATGCAAATTTTTTTTGTTGTTTTTTTTTTTTTAAAAAAACACCTGCCCATTACTTCTGTCTTGATTGACTGATCAAATGACTACTTCTACTCTAGACAGTCGTGTGCCACTTTGTGGCAACTCCCTGCTTCAACAGAACAATGCCTCTGCAGACATGGATAGGTTCATAAAGACATGGTTTTGCTAATTTGGTGTGGAAGAACTTGACTCAACCCTGTCCAGCAGGTATGGGATGGACTGAATTGTAAGCCAAGCCTCGTCACCCAACATTAGTGACAATGCTCTTGTTCCTGCAGTCACGTTCCAAAACCTTATGGAAAGTCTTCCCAGAAGAATAGAAATCAACAAAATGACATAAATCCCCCTCACTCACACCACATCCATCCCTCTCTAACAGCTTCAAATGCTCAGCTTGGCAAGCCACAACTGTCATGGAAACACAGGGGTTGAGCTTTAGTAGTATCTCCAAATGAATAAGACACAAGGATGTCACTGCAGCTTATTTGCTCCAGTTAAAAAACTGCTTGATCATATGCTGACAAGGCCCCTTCTCTTCAAATAACCCCAGGCTTTTTTTCTCTTTTTTTTGTGACAAGATTATCAACCAGAAAGGAATTCTTAACCGACCTCTATCAGCTGAGAGCCTTTGTTCTGGGAGGCTAAACCTGCATGTTTTGAAGAAACTCGATATGATTCTGATTCACTGGACTATGACCTGCATGGTGCCATAATGTCTCAAATAATAAATAACATCAGAACTTTTTGCGTGGTAATAATGGATTGATTTATGTCTTTGTTCATAGTTTCCCTATGTCTCTGGTTAAGATTTCTTTTCTGTTAAAACATCTAAACAAATTAGTTGATAGAGCCAACCCAGTTAATCAAAGAGTTGCCATCTATTACATTAATCACCAACTATTTTTCTAATTGATTTACGGATTCTTTTTATAAAGTAGAAATTCTCTGAGTCCAGCTTCTCAAAATATCGATTATCTGTTTGGCCAATTATCAGATTTGATATCCTGTATTTTTCTGTATTGTGATCTGTTGTAACTGATTTCCAATAAGTTATTTTAGAAATGCGCCACTTTGGTTCTAATGCAGCCAATTCGCTATATCTGTGAGCACCACTCTGTGGGCTCAAGCAATGTCGAGACCACGGCACTATTAGATTAGATATGCATCACTGGCAATAGCCTATCAATACTAAGGGAAGGTCTCTTTTAATTAAAATGCAAAAACAAAGGCACTTTGATGAGGTTTTGTGTTGAAGGTTGTGTTATTCTAAATTTTGACACCAAGATTTTTATTATTATTGCAAATGTATATTGGTTCCAATCCGTTATCGATCTTATTCATTATCAATAACTGATATTGGCCCTGCAAAAAAAAAACACGACAGTCGACCCCATGTCTTTACCATTTACCATCCTGGGCTTTGGGAAACACTGATCAACATTCTTTACCATTATTTGGAATTTTATAAATCAAACTACAGATCATTTAATCAAGAAAAATATTTGATAGATTAATAAACAATAAAAGTAAGCATTAGTTGCAGGCCTGTTGTTGGATAAAAACTAATTTAGGATAAAGACAGCAGAGCCAATCAAACAGACAGCGTGCATGACAGGTGTCACTGTGTTTACTTCTGTAAAGATTGTGGATGCATTAACAATTCAGAGACAGTGTGAGTGTAAATACATGTCGAAAAAGATGCTTGTCTGAGTGCAGTGCATTTCAGCACTAATGTATTAAGTAAGATATCATAAGGCTCTTTAAGTTGTTAGAAATAAAACTGTCAGAAACATTTTAAATTGTGACAGCAGGCCATTATAGCACTCTGTAATTTCCTCTAATTTTAAAATCCTCATGCTCAGTTTACACCAAAGGCAGCCTCACTTTTGACAAGCCACTCATCCTTGTCATACAGATTTGCTTGGTCTCTGTTTTTTCTGCCACACACACAAACACACACACAGTGCCCTCTGCTTTTGTGCAGCGCTAGCTGAGCCCAGCTAGCTCGAAGCCTGACCATCACTGCTAGCCCTGCAAACAGCGTCCACTCTCTGCTAACGTGAAACAAAGGCGTACCCTGTGTTTTACCGCCGTGGTATTAAAACAACCCCTTCTTTTCCTCTTAGCTCTTAAACAGCTGTCTGTGCTCGCCACTGTGCCAGGCGAGGTAGGTGTGTGAGGGAATAAAAGCTAAAGCTAGCCCCTAGCGAAGCCCTTCCTTTCAATGAAACGTCAGTTCGCAGCCAGACGGAGAGGCAACACAAAGACAAGAAAATGTGACAAGGAGGCGAGAAAGTGTCGCTGCATCATTCATTCTTCTACTTACCATATCCTGTTTAAACGTCGCCGCTGGTTTAGACATACAGCTCGTATTTCTTGGTGTAAATATACAGTCTACGGCCTCAAATCTCTTCTGTCTCTCTCTTTTCTCTCACACTCTCCACCCGGAATGCTGCCTGCAGGACAAGAATGGGATCGTCGTGCGCAGGCGCAGTGGATCCAGGGATGATGTTGGCACTTGGAAAACTGTCGCATGGCAATCGGCAGTGCTGAAAAGCTGCTGCTGTGGCTGAGTTGTAGTCGACCTCTGGCGACATCTACTGGACACATGGGCTTTGGGTTTCTGTGGGTCTTTTTATATCTTTTTTTACTCAAACTGTTGCATACAGAAAGATGAAAGTGGAGAGTTAAGGGTTCATAATACCCCCATAGTTCTGTGACTGGCTCAGGACAAAATGGCTGCTCGGGGATACATTTCTGGAAGTACAGAAATGTTCTGGGGCCAAAACCACTGTATGCTGTACATCAAGTAGGTAATTGTTTTTTTGTGTTCAACAAAGTATGAGGGGAACTTAATTGCACTAATAGCTCACCTGGTCGACCAAACAAAGACTGCAGCCTCCTCTGTCAGTTGTCACTGCCAGGTAATGGAAAACAATATAAAGTAACAAAGAAAAAAAAACAAGTAAAATCAGCGACACTAAAAGCAACAGATGTGACGTTCGTTGGAGAACTTTTTTTTTTTTAATCTGACATAAGTTGTATTTTTCTCATAGACTATATATTAAGATTTTTTTTAACTCTTTTATATGCAGTCTATAGTTTGTTTTAGCTTTATTTATTCTAAAATTCTAATGAGTTTATGGAGTTGTCATTTCATACCTTTTGTCAACAATATGACACCTGAGTTTTGGACAGAGTTCTATAAATATATAACTACTAAAATTTTAATATTTTAAATAAATATATTTAATACATTTATATCGACTAAAGGTTTCATAAAATAACCTTTAGTCAATATAAATGTATTAAATATATATAGACCTTATTTGTGAACCCTTTAGTGGACTTTATTTTACAGCATTGCACCTTCAGCATTGCATTTTAACAGGGGATTGAACAACTCACTACGCTTTTTTTTTTTTTTTTGTATCCCAAAATAAAATGATTAGCTGTGAGTGTCATCAGTTGTTTTTCTGTTTCTTTTTTGTGTTGCAGTGATTCAGATGGAAATGGATCAAATCCATGCCTCAAAACTGTTGAGCAGGCTGGGTTCGTTGGGTAAATGTATTCCCTTCATGTCAGGTGTGACGCCTCCTAACGTGCGCGTTACTTGTGGGTTTGTCTTATTGTGAAAGTGCGAGAGCGGATGTGGAGGCGCTGTGCTGAGTGCAGGTTCAGATGTCGAACATCACTCTGGATAAAGCTCCTGATCTCTCCAAGGTCTGGATCGCTCTCAGGCGGTTCGACAGAAACGGTTCGTAAGTTTCTCGAAGTTTTTCCTCTTCGTGGTCTGTGGTGGTTTTCTGTTACCGATGGACGCTCTGTGCGTCTGTGTCCATGGCAACCGGCCTCTTTGACCCGCCGAAGACTACATGAAGATGATGTGCTCATATTGTTTCAAGCCATATTTAGGTAAAAATCCAACAAACAAATGCTATTCATATATGAAGTTTTTCTCGGACTTCATCCAGTGATGTGATCAGGGCTCGTGTCCGCATCAGGTGAGAAGTCAGCAGCAGCTGCATGTGACTTTGAGTGTCAGCAGCTCATCATGCAGGCTCTCACACAGCGTGCACACCATAATGAGGAATGGGCTGAAGGCTTTTACAATGATCTTACAAATCTGCAGATGTAAGTGTTTAGAATCCCAGCCAGACCTTTGACTGTAGCGAACATAAAGAGATCCAGGTCTGAAGACATCTGCTTTGAATTCAATAGAGTGTTTCTGTAAACATTACCTGCCATGATATCTACTGCCTCTGCCTCTGAATCACTCATGTGTAAGATGCATACTAGACCATGACGGACTTTCAACCGAGCTGTACTGTCACAAGATCCACTTTGTATTAGCATGTCTTACATATCGACTTAGAGGGAGCCCATCCTTGAATAGCATCCTCATAGTCCAAGGCAAAGAGGAATCAATCCTTTTAAAGAAAAGCATGACTTCTTGCTATAAAGTAAGCCCAATTTAATTCTCAGCTTTGATAGCAGTTTGTCGATATGGGCTTTAAAAGCAAGGTTTTTGTCAACCCCAAAGCATAGCAATTTAAAATGTTGCACTCTCTCTATTCAATGTTTCTAGCATGTGAAAACATCTTATGTTCCATCTTTGCACAATTTAGGACCAGTTCCTAATGATAGGGTTGCTTTAGAAGGAGATTAAATGATAGCCGTAGACTTACAGTGACTTCAGCCAAATCTGAACAGGACTAAAGGGTCATGACATCCTCAAAAAATGACACCATTCATCTAAATTATGAATAAAGCTGGTCCAAGGACAGAACTGTGGCTAACTCCCTTTGTAATGGGGAGAAAAGAGGATGGAATGTTACCCGTCTTGACTCAGTGGGATTTATTAGAGAGATATTTCTGAAACCACCATCATCAAAATCCAGAGAAGAAAGTTGTAAAAGCAAAAGTGGTCAACCATGTCAAAATCCTTTCATAAATCAATAAAATAAATGTGAAGACACCCTTCTAGTACAAATATATCATTGTGCAGTGTGAAGGCCAAACTGTGAGGTGGGGGATGTCGGTAAAGGTGTTGTCCATATTCCCTGCAGCACTTTTCCACAAGATAGGAGGTCAAAGTTTCCACTGTGTTCTGTCTGATGAGCTGAAGAGCTGAAGGACAAACCAAACGTCCAGCTCTGGGGATTTTTCACTACATGGAAACATAATAGTTATTCTCTGTGATGGCTTAACTGACTTATAAATCATTAGTAAATGACTGATTAACCAAAAATAAAACCATTAATGACAACGTAAAAACCTGTTTAAGAGTGACACCTCAGAAAGTAGGAGACTCTCACGTTCTGTTTGTTGCAGATGAAAGAGTGGTGGCTCTTCGAGAAGTGTCCTTTCCTTCAGCGGCTGAGGCCACCATGATCACACAAGTATGGAATGCTCTGTTTATCCATCTATCCATCCATCCATCCATCCATCCATAGCAATCATTGGTGGAGCCCAAACAAGCAGACCAACACTCACACGAGGGAGGCACAAAAACTGATGCCTCTATTTTTTAACTCTCAATTGATTTTATTTTATTTTTTTAATGTATTATTTATTAGAAAAACTGAATTTCTGTGACTGGTTTGAATATTCTGATACTTTTTTTTAATTATTATTATTGTGTATGTCTTTTTAGATTCTCACCAATACCTTTGGGCTGAACACTTCTAATGTTGTATTCAAGGTACAATGACACATTTGGTCTTATGTTTAGGATGCAGGCATGTGTCTGAATGTTTATGTCTTCAGAATATCATGATAAGCATCTTAAAGTCTGTTAGAATTCTAAAAAACACAGTGAGCTGGACCATTTTGGTCTGTGTGCAGATAAGGAACCCCCGTGGCTGTCTGATCCCGCTCAACAGCTCCATCCCTGCTAACAGCAAGCACATGTATGTGATCTGGTGATGTACATGTCTTTTTCTATTCAGAGCATAATGATCATTCTTTAAGCAATTGTGTATTTATTCCAACAGGCCATATGTACTTGAAGTAGCCAAGATTTTCCAGCATGGTAAGGGTGTACTCTCTGTCGTATGAGCTTATACATTTCACAACACTGCAAATAGAATAGTTAGATATTTTGGGAAATTATTCCTTTTTTTGACAAAATTGAAATGAGAAAATTGAGTCTGTATCTCAATACAATCCTGCATCTGATAGATATAAAACTACAAAGGACTGGAAACAGGGGAGAAACAGCTAACTTGGCTCTGTCAGTGTGTTGTAAAATACACCGATTAGCATTTCTAAAACTCATTACATCATTCATGTCCTTTGTTTAAGATGAATAAAATTCAGAATATAAAAATTATTCAGAATTATTTAAAAAAAACAAAGATGATTAAAGAAAATCCTAATTCCAGCCTGTAACTCACTTAACACATTCTATATTCTTTGTATAACCTTTTAATAATTTCTACATAATCAGTTAACACACAGATTTGACTGAGGTATTATCCTTAATAATCTCTTCATACAGTCGGGATAACTCTCAGCGACAAAGCAAAATGTATTTCCTAATTGCCGATGGCCGTGCAGAATTTAGGCTCTGATTTCCACACTAAGGCCATTTAAAATGAATACACTCTGAGATCTGGAAGGGGATGTAGCTGATCATTTACTGCTAAAAACAGGATAATCTAGCCAAATAAAATTGCAATGATTAGAAGTAGATTTCCATAGGAGACACTACAATTGTTGTCAAATGTACTGTCCATTAATATTCTCCATACAACTATATTTGAGTATGTTATAAACTCCGTCGTAATGTTTGTATGTGTACGTGAACAGCCCATTTAGTTCAGATGGTTATATATTTTTTGAATATACATTTTCTGTACAAATGAATATGAACATGTGGTTTTGTTGTTTCTTGTACTGCGTGCTGTATTCTCCTTTGTATCAAAGCTGCACATGGTATGCCTGGTGGCTGCTGCAGAAAAGGACAGTTTTTAATGTCTGTTTGTTTGTGATTTTACGACAGTGCATCCCAGGCCCAGAACCAGTCCCATGATTGTGATCAACAAGAGCATGAAGACCAGACTGCAGAGTATAGACAGGAGGGTAGGACACAGTAACCAAGCAGTCGTAATACATAAACTAGTGGCATGACTATGGTCTAGCATGAACGTTTTACTAAAATGGTGCATTTTAAGTGCCTCTGAAAACTATTACGGCACCTGAATGAGCTGTTCATTTACAATCCCTGTGCAGTTTAAAAGAGATTGAGCTGTTTTGCAAAGAAAAATAGGGTAAAATGATGGTGCCCAGTGGCTGACTGAGGTCTATCCACACAGGCTCAAAGCTGTAATTGCACCGAAAGGTGCATCTACTAAATACTGACAAATTAACATAAAAAATGTAAAATGTAAAATAGTGAATGCTCAAGTATTCTCACTTTCATTTTACATATTTTATGTTAATTTGTTGAAATCTGTTTTCACTTTGACATGAAAGAGCTTTTTAGCATAAATCCTTGTTAAAAAAACGACAAGTTATATCAACCAGAATTCAATCTTGAACAGCAATAACAGGGGGAAACTTTCAAGGGGGTGAATACTTTTCATAGGCACTGTAGTAGTCAATGCACCAAGCAAAATAGGTTGCTTGGGATAAGCAGAGCCTCACGCCATTTTAATTTTGTCCATTTTTTCACTGCAGATTCAGAGACTGAACGACCTTCTTCCTCAGATCAAACTCAGGCACAATGAAAAACTAAGCCAGGTATTTTCATAAAACCACTGGTCCACTTATCCACTGGTCCACTAATCCACTGGTTCACTGATCCACTAATCTACTAATCTACTAATCCACTAATCCACTAATCTACTGATCCACTAATCCACGAATCCACTAACCCACTGGTCCACTGGTCCATTGATCCATTAATCCACTGGTCCACTGATCCACTGATCTACTAATCCACCAGTTCACTGGTCCACTTATCCACTAATCCACTACTCCAGTAATCCACTGAACCACTGGTCCACTGATCAACTGATCCACTAATCCACTGGTCTACTGATCCAGTTGTCCATTGATCCACTAATCCACTAATCCACTGGTCCATTGATCCACTAATCCACTGGTCCAATGATCCACTAATCCACTAATCCAGTAAACCACTTATCCACTGGTCCACTAATCCACTGGTCCACTGATCCACTAATCCATTAATCCACTGATCCACGAAACCACTTATCCACTGGTCCACTGATCCACTGATCCACTAATCCACTAATCTGCTGGTCCACTGATCCACTAATCCACTCACCCACTAGTCCATTGATCCACAAATCCACTGGTCCACTAATCCACTAATCCAGTAAACCACTTCTCCACTGGTCCACTAATCCACTGGTCCACTGGTCCACTGGTCCACTGATCCACAAATCCACTAATCCACTGGTCCACTAACCCACTTGTCACTGATCCAGTTGTCCACTGATCCACTAATCCACTAATCCATTAATCTACTGGTCCACTGATCCACTAATCCAGTAAACCTCTTATCCACTGATCCACTAAACCACAGGTTCACTGATCCACTAGTCCACTAATCCACTGGTCCACTGATTCACTAATTCACTAATCCACTGGTCAACTGGTCCACTGAGCTACTGGTCCACTGTTCTACTAATCCAATGATCCACTGATTCACTAATCTACTGATCCAGTAATCCACTGGTCCACTGATTCACTAATCTACTGATCCACTAAACCACAGGTCCACTGGTCCACTAGTCCACTAATCCACTGGTCCACTGATTCACTAATTCACTAATCCACTGGTCAACTGGTCCACTGAGCTACTGGTCCACTGGTCTACTAATCCAATGATCCACTGATTCACTAATCTACTGATCCAGTAATCCACTGGTCCACTGATTCACTAATCTATTTATCCAGTAATCCACTGGTCCACTGGTCCACTGGTCCACTAATCCATTAATTCACTGGTCCACTGGTCCACTAATCCACTAATCCACTGGTCCCCTGATTCAGTTGTCCATTGATCCACTAATCCACTAATCCACTGGACCACTGGTCCACTGATTCACTAATCTACTAATCCACCAATCCACTGGCCCACTCATTCACTAATCTACTGACCCATCGTTCCACCAGTCCACCGGTCCTTTGAGCCACTGGTCCACTAAACCACTAAACCATTGNGTTCAAGACCACAGAGTCTCAGACCAAAGGAATCAAAGACAACTCAGATCATGTTTTGGAAGCCGAATCAGATTAAAAATGTGCACATGGTGCATAGCTAAGGGTGCTCTACAAATCCGGGGTGGAATATTCCAATATACATTTTAGCAGTGTGTGTGCGCTTGGAACTGGAGTTTGACCCCTGAACTAGAATGGAGAAAGGAAAAAGAAAGTGTTCATAAAACTTCAGTGAAAGCGAGAAGACACTCTTAAAGGAAATTATTTCAAAGTACCCCACAATTGAAGACAAACATCATGATTCAACAACAGAAACCAAAAAAGGAATGCCTGGACTGCAGTTTTGAATGAATATAACTCAAATGGAAAAGTACCCAACAGGACCCTCCAACAAGTTCAGGTAAGATTAATTTATAATGTCTATGGTGGCCTGATTGTACTATTAACTCATTTTGAAATGTGTGTCTTCTCATTTGACAAACACACATTTCTATATTGCCTTTTAAAGGTCCTGTGGAAAAACATTGAAATACACTTGAAGAAAACAACAGCCATTGCTCGTAGGGAGCGTTTCAAGACCGGTGGGGAACAAGAGACAGATGACCTTGGAGACTTGTTAACTGGGATGATTGAAAGCCAGCAACCCTTGGAAGGTATCCCAGACGATGATCACCTGGACAGTTCAGGTGAGGAAACACGCCAATACTCACTTGCTTTAGTGTATATACTATTTTCCCCAGCAGGTTAGCGTAAGCTAAATCGTATTGTCTTCTGCACTCTGATTAAAAAAATTCTGTCATGGCCTCAATTCTTGAAATCTGATGTGTAATATTGGAATTCTTTTCTAGAAAAAGATGACCTGAGCTTGAGCCAGATGTTAGAGGAGTCAGAGCAGAGACAAGAATATCAGCCCTCCGCACCTGTAGCAGCAGCAGCAGCAGCAGCAGCCAGTATCTCCAACCCAGGAAGCAGGCCAAGAGGGAAAAGGCGGACCATTCATGAGAAACTTGCTATAGAGTTCCATGAGCGTAAATTACAGTATTTAAAAGAACAACATGAACTCAAGATGAAAATCCTTCATGCTGAGTTGTCTATCAAAGAGGTGGAGAGAGACATGAAGCAGCAGCAGCAATATGACAGTGCTCTTTGTAACAATGCCCCTGTTCACCTTGTGCCTTTGTGAATTAAAAATACTACAATACAATAATAATTCAACCAAAATTTATTAAGCAATGAACTATCTCCCTCTCTTCTCTTTATCTTCACCATTTTCAATATATGATACATTATGCATAAAAAAAATGTAGTACATAAATCAAAATAACACAAATGCCATCACTTGTATCACTCCACTTTTTTTTTTTTTTTTTTTTAATGAAAAATGCTGCAAAGCAAAGGTGTCTCTGTAAGTGTGTCCACTTTTGTTGTTGGCTACTTCTGCCATGGGAACATGTGGGTCATTGCAATATTCAGTCGGTGGGTCTGGGGAGCCATGTTGTCTCAGGTAATTATGAAGCACTGCCATTGCCACAATGACAATACAGCATCTTCTTGGTTCAAAACGTAAAGTATTCCTGAGACAATGGAAACTATTCTTCCAGATACCAAACATGTGCTCTACTAGCCCTCTGGTGTGGATATGAGCTTGGTTGTAGTGCTGTTGCTCAGGTCTGACAGGATGAAGATAAGGAGTAAACAAAAAGTTTGTGCATAACCGCTGTCACCAAGCAGGATTCCACGGTGTTGTCCTGCTTCAAATTGAGCACACAAAGAGGAGTTCTGGAAAATCCTTGAGTCATGTGTTGAACCGCTCCAACATGCAATAATGTTGGAGAGCTGCATAGTGGGAGTGCAGACACCTTGTACATTTACTGAAAACCAGTTTTTATGATTCCTGTACAGTTCAGTATGTTCTGTTGAAGGACACTTAATTGGAACATGACATCCATCAATGCAGCCAATTACTCAAGGGAAGTTCCCATATTCGTAGAACTGTACCTTGTAGGTGGTCTGATC